GCTACAGCCCTGACTCAGTACCTCAAAAGAAATGTTTATTTTTCTACTTTTATACAATATGTGCAAATAAACAGTAAAGAATTGGAACCATCTGTGATAGGTGAGTCCTTGAGTGTGTGTGTGATTGTGGGTCTGATGAGCATGATGTCTGTGTGATATTGGTAAAATTTGTAACTAGCTGTGTATATTTGTATGTGCCTGACTTCTGCAATTATGTGTGTGTATGTTTCCAAGTGAGTGTCTGCCTGAAGCTGAGTCTAACTGAAGATGCATAGTGGAGTATTTATGCCCACATGTGTGCAAATGTGTGAGTATTTATGCTCGTTTATATGTCTCCCCCTGCCTGTGTAAACTGCATATCTCTCTTTTCCGTGTGTACTTAGGACAGATGGAGGTCTGTATCAATCAAGTGCTTTATCCTGTAATAAGTACTAGAAACCCAACTCAAACGGGTAAAACAAAAATGAATTTATTATCACATATAACAGAAAGTCAACAGGATAGTTCTAGGACTGATTCATTCATTCATCCAATAGTGTCATTGGGAAACTAATTGGTTGATTCTTACTCTGGCTACCTCCTGGTCTTAAGATGGCAGCCACAGCTCCTGCTATCACACACAAACAATAACCTCTAAGTCCTAACAAAACACCCCTACCTAATGGAGTAAAACAATGCCCATCTTATGCTCACAGATTTGGCATAGATAGTTTTCCTCTGCTCCACAGTGTTAAGGTCTTGATGCCTCTCCCACAGTTCTTAAAAGCAAGGAAAACCTTTCAGAGAAACTCCCTATAGTGTGTGTGTGCTTGTCTCATTGGCTAAAACTTTTTTATGTGCCCAAGCCTCAACCAATCACTGACAAGGAGGATATAATTAGAAAGATAGTGTTAGACTAATCATGATTTACCTTTGCAGTTAGGGAGAAGCCCTTTCCCTGAAAACATGCCTCAGGGAGAGGAAATACATGAACAAACTTAGATTTCTACCAGCAGGAAGAAGGTGAAAGATGGACCTAGGCAGCAGCCTAAACGGCATCTGGAGGTTCCCAGGTCGTGAATGTCTTGCAGGA